GAGAGAGAGAGAGAGAGAGAGAGAGAGAGAGAGAGAGAGAGAGAGAGAGGTGTCACAATGTGGGTATTACCACTTCTGTAATCTCAAATTCTGTGAGAGCAGCAATATACAGATTGGTCATAGGAGATTAACAGTAGCTGCTGTTTACCAACCAATTACTAGGTGTGGTCACTAGCTTCAAGTATTAGCTGTAACTGTTACTTAGTTGCAGGTACTAGCTATAGGTACTAGCTGTAGTTAAAAGCTAGCTAGCTGCAGGTACTAACTACAGGTACTAGTTAGCTGCAGGTACTAGCTATAGTTACTAGCTTTCTGCAGGTGCTAGTTACTAGCTAGCTGTAGTTACTAGCTACAGGTACTAGCTAGCTGTAGGTACTGACTAGCTGCATGTGCTTTGCTTATCCCTCAATACTCAGAAGTTCATGTGTCTATTTCACAGACAAGGACACTGAGGTGGCCCCATAAACCTGTGCAGAGTCTAGAATGTAGGCCTCTGACCACTGTACCCTCTCAGGTGGGGTGTCATCAGTCCTGCCCCTCTATGACTTTGCTGGGGCATGCTTCCCTTGCTTCTGGATGACAGCCTTTCTGCGGCTTCCCACTGGTGAACAGGCTATGTTCGTAGGGTGCTTGCATCACCCAATCAGTAGGACACCCCAAGGACAACAGCAGCTTACAAGGGCAAAGGAGGTGAATGGGGTTCTTGTAGTGAACTCCAGTGAGGGGACTGGAGGGCGCCACCCTTGCTCCAGCCTGTGGCTGCTTGCCTGGCCCACGGTTTCAATGTTTTTCAGCAAATATCCTGGTGGGTTTATTTTTCCTTTCTTCCAAATCATAATCTAAAATATTATTGATAAATACATGTTTGAATAGATATTAACGCATTGAAAATAAGCAAGGCCTGGTGACAGCTACATGATGGGGTTGGGGCAGGGTGGGGTGGGGTGGGTGGCAGGATGGGGTTGGGTGGGGTAGGGCTGGGCAGGGTTGGCTGAAGGGGTGGTAAGACAGTTCAAGGCTACAGACTGAGTTCAAGGCCAGTCTGAGCGACTTAGTGATACCCTGCTTTAACTTTTGAAAATGTTCAAAGTGACTAGAAGCCTGGGGATGTAACCTGTACAGTGCTTGCCCATCGTGTGTGGGGCCCTGGGTTCAATTCCGACAATAAGGAAGGAAATGAGGGGAAGTAAAAGAAAGAAGAGGAAGGAAGGGAAGAGGAAAGAAAATATTTAAAACAATAGGTGTTTTGTTTCTTTGTTTTATTAACAAGTAGGACTTTGGGAACTAGGAGATGGCTCAGTCAATACTGTGCTACTCTGTCAACATAAGAAGCTGATCCCTGATCCCTAGCGCCCCGTAAGGTCTAGGTACAATCCACACCTGTGCCCACTAGTCACTGGGCAGAAGACAGGTGCAGCAGTGCACACCTGTGCCCACCGACACAGGGCAAGAAACAGATTCCTGCAGCCCACTGGCATGCCAGCCTGGCTGAACTGGCAAGTTAGTAGGAAATGATTGAGGAAGACACCCAGAACCTTACCTCTGCCTTCTACAGGTAGGCCTCCTTACCTCTCACACACACCGGCAACAAATGTTCATCCCTGCAGGTGCATGTGTGTATACACACCCACAAACACACTCACATGTGCATGTTATACACTCATCACAAAGTAGAATCTTGATTTTAAAACTCGAAGCTCCAAGTCTCTAGAACTGTGGTGGAACCCAAGGGACACCGTAGCTACACTCAGATTCCCTGGTGGTTATAATGGAGCTATACATTATAACTCCATTATATAACTCCAGTCAGAAGGCACCAGTGTGGGTTTGCTGCTTTACATTGAATTAAAGAAACTGGATAGCTGTCCCAGGGTGCCTGAGTCCACTCCCTATAGCCAAAGAGGTAGAAAATCAGAGACATAATTAGGATGAACACAGGATCACAGGCAGAAGGAGTGACTCCCCTGCTCACAGGCCTGAGGATGTGGGACACACTGTGGGCCGTGTTGCTCTGTAAGTCATATGTGGAGTGTGCTGGCTCATCTTTAGGACTCGAGATTCTGGACAAGCAGCCTCCAGGGATCATTCCAGTTCTCTCACACTCTGTGATTTTGAAATGCAAATTTCATTTCTTCTGACATGTTATTCGGACACAATATTCTGAGATCTCAGAAGGGAACATTTATGTGAAAGCAAGTAGAAAGGGAGGGGGGTTGTTTGGTTGGTTCTTGAAGGGATGCGTGTCTCTTTCCCTGTGTGAAGCCACTGTTGTGTTCCTAAGTTACATGATATTGCTGAAGTAACAATGTCAGCGTATGACACAGTACATGTTAGGAGCATTGCTCATGTGACAGGTACATGTCAACTCACAGATCTTCAGATCTCTCTAACCACTTTCTTTTTATTTATTTTTTTGACTTCAATCAACCACTTTAGAGCAAAACTTTTCCTTACCCCATATTCCATCTGTCATATCAAACTGACAAAACCTTTCATGTTGGCTCTCTGGGAAAACAAACAACTTTCCACTATATTATTGAATACATGGAACATATCTCGTTTATTTGAAAAACAAGAGGAAGAGGAAGAAGAGCAATTTTAAAATATTTTCCCCACATAATCAATCAGAAGAAGAAGAATAGCAAAGAATTTTTGCCCACTATTCACCAAGAAATCTAGAATATAGAAAGAAATGTAGAAAGTAAATACCAAAAAACTTATGTAATTAATAAGTGGGTCAGTGAGCTGAATTGACAGCCTCCAAAGAAAAAAATAAGTGTGTGATAACTATTTTAAAATGAACACAGCGTCCTTAGCCACCCGGGAAATGTAAATTTATACTGTTGCAGAGATTGCATCTCACGCCACTCAGAATGGCTATCATCAACAGTAGCAGCAGCATGCGCTGGTAAGGATGTGGGGGAAAGAGAAACCTCGGACAACTGTGAGGATGTAAACTAGGGCAGCCACTATACAACTATGCATGGAGTCTTCCCAAGTCTAAAACCAGAACTACCATATGGCCCAGCTGTATCACTCCTGGGTATAAACCCAAACAGTCTGGAGTCAACAAAGAGACACCCACACATGCTTATTGCTGCACTATCCACAACTGGCAAGTTATGAAATAAGCCTAGATGCCCATCAACAGGTGCATGGATGAAGAAATTACAGTGCATGTACACAATGGAATGTTATCCTACTATAAAGAAAAACGAAGGCATAACCATTGCAAGAATGGATAGAACTGACTGTCATTATGCTAGGCAAAGCAAGCCAGATCCACAAAGAGAGATGTCACGTTTTCTTTCATATGTGGAATCTAGGTTTAAATTTAAATGTATGTGCATATATAGATAGTATTTTCTCAGCCATGTGATACATTCTTGTAATCCCAATAAGCAAGATTCTGATGCAGGAAGACCATGAATTTCAGTCAGCCTGCTCTATATAGTCAAATGCTGTCTTTAAAAATTAAAAATAAAGGCCAGAGAAAGGGATCAGCAGACAAGATTAGTTCCAACTCTTCCACAGTATCTGAGTTTAGTTTCCACCATCCACACCAGGCAGCTCATGATTACCAGTAACTCCAGCTCCAGGATGCAGACAGATTCACACACACACACACACACACACACACACACACACACACACCTATATACAAACACACCCCTATATATAAACACACCTATACACATATGTGTGTAATGTTTAAGCTGTAAATGCCCAGTACTGCTCCCTAAAATACCTACATGACAATATGTAAAGCAAAGAAGGTATCTCTTTCCTCTCTTATGTTGTAGAGTGATGTTACAAGTAGAAAGAGGCCGTGGTGTCAGGGATGGACTCTTTGCATCTTTGACAAGAACATTCTCTATTTAGCGTCTGAAGACAGCCTCCTCTTAAATGTCCGTGTTCATAAACTCAAAACATTACTTCAGATATTCATCACTCAAACTCACTTCCTGGTATCCATTTACCTTAAGTTACAGTAAAGCTAAAGGCGGAGAAAGAAATAGACCTTGCTCTGTCAACTAAGAGAGACTAACGGAGCCTAGACTTGGTTGGATATTCACCCTAGTGAAGTAGCATATACTTTGTAAACTTTGTGTAGTTTGTAAACTTCCTAAGCCCTCAAGGCAGGAGAGTGGCTCAAACATCTGGAGTTCAGCAGCAGCAACAATGAGAGCAGCTACTCAGAAGGAAGGGCAGGGTGTGAGCAGAGGTTTCTCTCTCCGGAGCCACGCCTCTTTGTTTCATCTATGCCCCCAGCCCATTGAATAGTTCTGCCCACCTTCAGGGCAGCTCCCCTCCCCTGCAGCCGCATGCCAATTCTCTTTTACAAACACTCTCATGGCCACGCCCAGAAGTATGATGTGTCAATTTTCCTGATGGCTTTTAATCCAGTCAAGTTGGCAACCAAGATTAAGCATCATAGAGTATTCAGAAGACAGAACCCAGAGGACTCAGCAATGGTTACCATGGAGATATGAGAGGTACACACAGATGCAAAAGAATCATGAGAGATGAAACTGAATGGATTTAATGAGTCATATTCTTAATAGGGTAAAACACTCAATGTCAACTATCTCATCATTAATAGAAAGCCATTGTGAGTACCAAAGAGAAAGCAGAGGCCAGGCCGGCACCTCAAGCTCGCAGTTTGAGGGTATGAAGGGGAAGTCATAGCAGCAGTGTGCGGTGGTTGGCTTCACTGTGCCTGCAGTCAGGAAGCAAAGAGACGGATGTCCGTGATCAGCTCTTGCTGTCTGTTTTATTCAGTGCAGGGCTACCGCCCATGAAGTGATGCTCCTCACACGGAGGGTGGGTCTTCCCATTTCAGTTAATCTAACTTGGAAACTCCCTTGCAGACATGCTCAGACGTCGGTCTGCTGGATGATTCTAGATCTGTAATATTGTCAGTATTCACCACCACAGTTACATCTGCATTTTCCTTCTCCCATGACAAAGAGCTCAGCTAAGGCCTCAGAGGTGGCCAGATCCCGTAGATCCTTGCCAACACGCTTGCTCCTTGACCGCTTCCTGCACAGCGCACCCCGCCCTGATATCTTGTGTCAACCCATGGTTCCTCCTTTTCTTCCTAGTCTCCTTTCCTTTAGATTATCCCCTTGGAATGCCGCCTCCTCAGCACCTGAGGTGTTCAGCCTCACACCTCCATTTTTAAAGCTTGTCCTATTCTAACAAGCCATATAATTGTCTACTTTCTGGATGCTTCTCCTAGGTGTCCACAGGCACACCAACTGATCGTCGAGGTGTTGATGGGGCGGAGTGGGAACTCCTCTCAGGTGTCACTGTTCTTGGCCAGAGATCAGACACTCTGCAAGACTCTCTACACCTCAGGTCAGCTACCAAATCCTGACAACTACAAGCTAAATGTTCTCCACTACCGCCGCCTCTCAGCGCTGATTGTTAGATCAGGCTTTGCACTCTGATTTCTCACATGCTAGAATGTGACCTTTAGTTCTAGAATGATCTCTATCAAGTTCCAATCTGCTGTTTTCACTCCCGGCATTTTATTTGTGGAGGTTTGAATGTGAATGGCCCCCATAGGCTCATAGAGTTGAATATTTAGTCACAAGTGAGTGGCACTATCAGAAAAGATTAGAAGCTGTGGTCTTTCGGGAGGAAGTATATCACTTGGGTTAGCCTATGAGGTTCTCCAAAAACCTATTCCAAGCTCAGAGTCTCTCTCTTCCTGATGCCAGTGGATTCTGTCAAACTCTCAGCTCCTTCTCCAGCACCATGTCTGCCTGCATGCCACCATGCTTCTTGCCATGGTGATAATACACTGAACCTCTGAAACGGTAGACCAGCCCCAATTCAATGCCTCCTTTTATAAGGGTTGTCGTGGTCAGAGTGTCTCTTCACAGCAATAGAGCACTGACTAAGACAACATCCCTCTATGCCAGCCCTGCATGCTCAGGCTACAATCCAAACCTCAGGCCTGATGGTCTGATGCATCCATCTGATTTAAATCTGGGAGTTTCCTGGAGGCAGGGGTTGTCTCAGCTAATCTCTCTGCAAGTTTTGAGAGGGTTTTTTTTTTAATTTTATGTTAATACTATATATATATATCATATGAACCCTCTGCTCCCCCTCTAGCTCCTCCCAGACCCCTTCCCAATTTCATTTCTCCTCCTCCCCTTCTTCTTCCTCCCCCCTCAGTCTGCTTAGTACAGCCTATACACACTTGGATGCTGGGCCATTTACTGGAGCTTGGGTAACCTACCATAGGAAACTCCCTTGAAGAAAACTGACTCTCCCTCTACCAGTGGTTCCTCAGCTAGGGGTGGGGTCTTGTGACAACCTCTCATCCATGCTGGAATGTTGACTGGCTGGATCTTGTATCCGGATTGGTCTTAGCAACCACAGCTGCTGTGAATTCAGGAGTGCCTTGGTCCTGTCATGTGCAGAAGATGCTGTTTCCCAGTGCTCTCTGACATTTGCCTCTTATGAGCTTTCCATCCTCCTTCTCTGATGGTCCCTAGACTTGAGTGGAAAGGGCTGTGACATAGTTCTTCCATTTAGGGCTGAGCCCATCAGTTGCTTTTTCCTTCCTGGCATTTCTGAACCAAGCCGATCCATCCACTCCTGTGCTAACTCTGCACTCCATGCAGGTGCCCAGTGAAGTGTTAACATTTCCTTCATGTTCTGCATCCTGATAGACTTCATACTTTGCTGGCAGAGGCCATGACAATTCAACTTTCATTTAATACTGATTTCTCACTCCTAGGATAATATATAGTTCTAAAACTAAATTTTAAAAAGATTTTACTTTGGGAGATTGTTAATTGAAGTAATGATCTCCTCTATTGATTTTTCTCATCTGGACCTTAGTTCTGAAAATATTGACAATCCATTGGTTACAAATAATAGAGTTCACCAGGCAGTGGTGGCGCACGCCTTTAATCCCAGCACTTGGGAGGCAGAGACAGGCAGATTTCTGAGTTCGAGGCCAGCCTGGTCTACAGAGTGAGTTCCAGGACAGCCAGGGCTACACAGAGAAACCCTGTCTTGGACCCCCCTCCCAAAAAAAATAGACTTAGCTCTCATCTGACATGAGTTGCAAATTCTCATGCTCAATCAACCTCACATTAAAAATCTGGGAGAAGTACTGTTATCTTATATTGGGGACTTGTGAAACATGGATTTTTGTATACAAAGGCAGCCTTAGAACTAATCCTCTGGGGTACCAGGGGGTTAATACATCTTAAACTAAAATTTGGAGATTCCACAGTGGTTAAGACTACTGACTGCTATTCCAGATACCCAGGGTTTATTCCCAGCACCAACATGACAGCTCACAACTGTCTGTACCTCCAGTTTCAGGGGCTCCAATGGCCATGTCTGGCCTCCACAGGCACTCTGTGCACATGGTGTATAAACATGCATCCAGGCAAACCAACCACGTGCGAAAAATGTTTTTTGAAGCCTTTCAAGTTGTATATAGTGGTATATGCTACAATCCCAGAAGTTGAGGGCTGAGACAACCTGGACTACATTTTTGAGGCCAGCCTGGGACTTATAGCAAAGTTTTACATAAGGGAGGAGGAAGGGGAAGGAAGTGGTGAAGGAAGGAAGGAAGGAAGGAAGGAAGGAAGGAAGGAAAGAAGGAAGGAAGGAAAGGGGAGGAAGGGAGGGAGGAAGGAAGGGTTCTGCCTACTGTTCAGATCTGGAGGGCAGTGTTGAGTGCCTGCTATGTTGGCTACTGTTCTCCAATGATGGGGGAAACTAATAGGAACCACATGGTGATATGAGGCTTATCATTGGGACAATCGCAGTACATTCGATGTTCTGGGTACTCTTTTTCCTC